CTTCAAAAAGCTACTAAAGACACATCTATGTAATATAGCCTATGGAGAGGAGGAGGATTAAGTACTAGGGCTGGGCGGTTTCGTTCGTTAATTTCGTAATTCGTTAATAATTCGTTATTTTTTGGCTAAAAAAACGAAACGAATTTTTAAAGCTATTTCGTAATTGTTTTGTTATTGTTTCGTTATTATTTCGTATGTGTCTGGTGCAAGTTTTATAGTTGTTTCCCTCCCCTCTCCCTGGTTGCAAGCGGTCGGCATTTACCCCACTTCCGGGTCCCTGGCCTCTGCTTAAGTGGATCAAATTCTCCTCTCCTCCTGTCGTCACCTCACCTCGTTCCTCACTCTGGCCTGCATGCATTGGGCAAAGAGACACAGCAGTGCAGCACTCAGAGACCTGCCTGTTGCCTGCCTAACCTCTTTCCTTCTCCAGGTTAAAACTATTATATTAATTATATTTATTATTATTATTATTATTATTATTATTATTAAGAATGGATGGCCATCTTTCAGTACTGCTTTCACTGTCCCTTACATTCACGAAGGCAGAAAGTGGTTTGTTATTATTATTATTATTATTATTATTGAGAAGAAGCATTGTCAAACCAGAGTAGAGATCTCACCCACCCTCCTCTCTCTCTCCTTCCCCCCCTTTCCTTCTCCAGGTTAAAACTATTATATTAATTATATTTATTATTATTATTATTATTATTATTATTAAGAATGGATGGCCATCTTTCAGTACTGCTTTCACTGTCCCTTACATTCACGAAGGCAGAAAGTGGTTTGTTATTATTATTATTATTATTATTATTATTATTATTATTATTGAGAAGAAGCATTGTCAAACCAGAATAGAGATCTCACCCACCCTCCTCTCTCTCTCCTTCCCCCCCTTTCCTTCTCCAGGTTAAAACTATTATATTAATTATATTTATTATTATTATTATTATTATTATTATTATTATTATTATTAAGAATGGATGGCCATCTTTCAGTACTGCTTTCACTGTCCCATACATTCACGAAGGCAGAAAGTGGTTTGTTATTATTATTATTATTATTATTATTATTATTATTGAGAAGAAGCATTGTCAAACCAGATAGAGATCTCACCCACCCTCCTCTCTCTCTCCTTCCCCCCCTTTCCTTCTCCAGGTTAAAACTATTATATTAATTATATTTATTATTATTATTATTATTAAGAATGGATGGCCATCTTTCAGTACTGCTTTCACTGTCCCATACATTCACGAAGGCAGAAAGTGGTTTGTTATTATTATTATTATTATTATTATTATTATTATTATTATTGAGAAGAAGCATTGTCAAACCAGATTAGAGATCTCACCCACCCTCCTCTCTCTCTCCTTCCCCCCTTTCCTTCTCCAGGTTAAAACTATTATATTAATTTATTATTATTATTATTATTATTATTATTATTATTATTATTATTATTATAGAATGGATGGCCATCTTTCAGTACTGCTTTCACTGTCCCATACATTCACGAAGGCAGAAAGTGGTTTGTTTCACCCCTCCTCTCTCTCTCTTTCCCCCTCTTTCCTTCTCCGAGGTTAAAACTATTATTTAAAACTATTATTTTCACGTCGCAGCGTCTGCCATTTTAACGAATTGATTCGTTAATATTAACGAAATTTTGTAAATACCGAACTTTTTAAAGGGAAAATTTTGTAATTATTTTAAATATTGAAACAAAAAAAACCCCCAAACACAAATCGATTTTAGAAACAAATTTTTCCGTTGTTACCCAGGCCTATTAAGTACATCTATATGCACTCTCGCCTAGCTGCTAATATCTGCCTTGTTAATCTGTGATTTACCATCCCCCTCCAACAATTTTAGCCTAATTCTAGAAATGTTTTAAAGAGATTTTAAAAATTTGATAAGTTTGTAATTATGTGTATTGTGTCATATTTGGTTTACTTGAGTTCTTCAGCTATTTATTGAATTGTTTTTGATTTATTGTCGAAGGCTTTCATGGCCGGAATCACTGGGTTGTTGTAGGTTTTTTCGGGCTATACGGCCATGTTCTAGAGGCATTCTCTCCTGAAATTTAGCCTGCATCTATGGCAAACATCCTCAGAGGTTGTGAGGTCTGTTGGAACTAGGAAAAAGGGTTTATATATATGTGGAATGATCAAGATGGGACAAAGGACTCTTGTCTGCTGGAGCTAGGTGTGTGTTTTTGATTTGTTTGCATATTATTGTTTGGCACTGAATGTTTGCCACTGCGTATTTATTGTGAGCCACCCTGAATCCCTTTGGGGAGATAGGCCGAGCTATAAATAAAGTTTCATTCATTTACTCATTCAAGTGCATTCATACATGCTTTAAGTACTGCAAATAGATTTCTTAAAAAATACATTTGTAGATCTCTGTTAATTTCACATGATTTAGAGTAGCTTCCTATCTCTTGGGATGTACATAGCAATCATATTTTAGAACTATTAATTTGACATAGAGAATCCACAGAGAAGTGGAAAGCAGAAGCATATGCTAATTTTGAGGGATACTAATGAATAGGAAATGACAATAATTGACTGCTATCATGTTGGAGCGTGGCTTTGAAATAGGTGACAACAATGGAGGTGTGGATTGTGTGAGTGAAAATGGTACCCCTAGCTTATTTGGAAACATTAACATGTCCTAAACCTGTCATAGAAATCTACCAATCATGTTATCAGTATTACACTGCTTCCTGGTTGTGCTGTCTATGTAAAATGAGTGAAAACACTTTAATACGTTAAATCTTTTTTTAAAAAAATAATATGTTTATGTTGCCTTTGTCACTGTGTGTGCTTTTAAATTATTCTCAACATATTGCAACTCAAAGGCAGATCTATCAAGATTTGTTCGGAGAGATTTTGCCCTGGCCTTCATCTAAAGCTCAGAGGGTATTACTTGCCTAAGATCACCCCATGGATATTGATGGCCAAAGTTGGGATTTAAGTCCAGAGTTGTAAGCCAATGCTTAAACCAATACAAACATTGGCTCTTATTCTAGTTGCTAAAATAGTCAAAAGCCCAACTAGTCTCTTTAAAAATAACTCTAAACTGAGGCAAACTATTTATAAAACATGCACCAACTTTGTTGGAGTTCAGGCATAAGCTAAAAACTCATATATTTATCAGTGTTTGATAATTAAAATCATACATCTTTAAATGTGCAATGTAGAGAAAAATAACAAAGAAAACTAATACTGTGATATTGGAAATCTAACATCATCCTGCGTCCTGATGGTCAGTGCAATTGAACTTTTGTCCCCTTTTTTTTTAATAAATGTTGGCTTCTAATGGAAGACTTCAGTTTAAAGGACTCAAGAACTCCTCTGTTGCAGCCCTGGAATCTCTTTGACTATCTACATAAACATCCTGGTTGCTGCTAGCAAGCAGCGCTCTTCCTGAAGCTTGCTGATGATGTTACATTTGTAGTCAAGCTATTCAGTGCCTAGCATCACATCACTAGAGATATGAGAGCAACAGAATTTCTGTAAGAAAGAGTTTCTTCGTAGCAGTGAGGTGGCAGTGGGCCCACTGGAGGAGTGGACCATGGATCAGACCCGACATAGCTGTGAAATTACTCCAGAGCTTCCAGGAAACCCTAGAGCAAATACTGTACTGTGTTATTACAGAGTACTGGCTGGATGCAGTTGTATGCTGTGCATCCTGCTCATGCTTCATGTGGACTCATCACAGCAACCGAACAGTGTATCCACATACTTTTGGCTGTGTTGACATGGCAGGAAGAGCAAAGCAGAAGGGAATCACTGTCTCCTGTTCTGCTCATGGAAAGTGACACAGCAGGATTCTGATTACAATTTAATACTAGGTATGTGTGTTTAGAAGTAGCTTGGTGCCTATATTTAATTAGTAGAAATCATGATTTCTATTTAAGGCGAACACTCAACAATTAATGAATGCAGCTACATAAAACATATCAGTAGCACATTAAAGCAATGTTTTCTTAGATACTAAAATGTTGAAGAGTCAATGTGTGTGTGTGTACACATGCATGCATGCCTCACTCCCAAATGTTCTTTTGCAAAAACTCCCTCACCCCTTCTAAATATTTATTTATTTACAGTATTTATATTCCACCCTTCTCACCCCACAGGGGATTCAGGGCAGTTTACAATGTAAATATACATGACAGACATTCAATTAGACATACAACATATATAGACAGACACAGAGGCAATTTAACATTCCAACTTTTCATGAGGGTATTCTGTCCACCAGGGGAACTGTTGCTTCACCATCCATTTCTGACGCTGATGAAGTACTTCCTCATTCTTTGCAGGCCTCCTGGAGATTTTTATGGCATCGTAAATTAGTTAAATTAGCCTCCCTGCGTAGACGGTACCTACATTTCCTACTTGACAGATGCAACTGTCTTTCGGGCTGCAAAGGTCGACAGCAAGCTACACAAATTGGTCAGACACTCACTTCGACACGGGCTGGATTCGAACTCATTAAGGTCAATAGTGACCTTAATGCAGCTGACTCCCAGCCAGCTGCGCCACAGCCAGCAACTTGACATACTTGACCCTCTTTCATCTAATTCTGCCAAGAAATGAAAATGTATTCTTGTTATGTGCCTTCATGTCTTCCTCATCCCATGGCAACTGCTGCAACATGGAGAATAGGAGCAAATGGTAAATGCAGTCCCATGTCCTTAAGCTGTTGAGTCCAACAAAAATGGAATGGCTGTGTAAACAGATGTGGCTGGTTCCATCTCTGAACTGCCCCAACTGTTTATATGGGTCCAAAGTTGTGGGTAGCTCCAAATTCTTTGGCAACATTCAAATTTGTTAACATGGGTCAAGGTTGCATCAAGGTTGCCTTACCCCACATTATGCCCGATCAGCTTCTTGCATGGTTTGGCCACTATGGACCTGATTCAGTGGCACTTTACAGTATGTGGTCAGTGTAGATGTTCAAACAAGTTTTTGAGAATGCGTACTCCCTAGTCTATACAATTGTGTTTTTTTTGTTTTTTTTTCAAAAACAGAAAGGCTTTATTGACCAAATCCTCACTGATAGGAGGCACCTAGATTTCAACGTGTATTCGGTGTGGGCAGGTTCACATAGCTCTTCATGGGTGGCAGGGGTCTGATCTTGCGCCCTGCCCACCCTCCTTTCCGCTGCCACAGGCCACTGCTTGGCCGTTTTCCTAACCACCGGTTCCGACCCGCTTTTCCAAGGATTTGCTTGTTGTGGTCGATATTTGAAACTCGGCCCACAGTAGCCATACAAGTCTCCAACACCTGCATTTGTCTCTTGGAGGGCAACTGTATGATGGCTGTTCCATTTACTTTCCTTAACAATACACCACAGGTGCCTGCTGCTCGAATATACTGTGCTCCTTTCCCAGGATGACTTTCCAAGTTGTTTATTAGAGTCCCTACTGGCAGAGCTCCAACAGGATATGCATCTCCTTCTTTAGCTGAGACTGCCATCCTGCCTATGTGTCCTGACGTTTTGATGATGTCGCCAACTTCCATGTTTTCTGTTGCAATGATCCAGCGTTTCCRCTTCCCTCCCGCTACCAGAGCTATATCGGCTGACCGGCATGGATCATACCGAACCTGAACCACTTTCTCATCAAATGGACCCRGCTCTGTCCCTTCTTCATAATTCATAAGCCCCGCCCACATCGCGTCGCAGCCGCTTTAAATCCAACATGGYGGCCGCGCCCTGTTTGGACGAATCCCAGAATGCATCTAGGAGGGAACAAGTGTTACTGTTATGGCTCTATCAGGTTTGATCCAGACCTTTAGGTCACTGCTGCTGTCTTCCAGCCCCCATTTCACAAGGATACCTGTATCCTCTAAGCCCATTTCTCTTGCAAGTCAACTCCAAATCCGCCATGAAATCGGGACTTCGGCCRTGGTGTCTGCTAGAGATATGCTGTGGAAATGCAGGATGAAGTACACCATAAAGCCCATTCCTTTAAGAAAGACAGGAGGCCGAGATCACACAGGACGTATCGCTGTGCATGGAATTGGGGGAGGAAGGAAGCAGTGCTACCGTATGATTGATTTCCGAAGACCTAGTCTATACAATTGTTATGCAGCCTTGCATTTTATCCAATGCCCTCTTCCCATGGTTATAGCTTTGCACTTATCCCATTCCCAGTTTGATTGTTTACTGCCTGGCCATGTTAATGGTAGTTTACCGCCATTGGTTTTTAATTTAGTGTTAGTTGTTATTATATGTCTATATATTTTATTTAATTCTATTTTTGATTTGTTTTCATTTTATGTTCTGTTTTTAGGCACCTTGCACCATGTGTAAGCTACCCCGAGTCCCTTCAGGGAGATGGTGGCAGCACACAATAATAAAGTTGTTGTTGTTGTTGTTGTTGTTGTTGTTGTTGTTGTTATAGATGTGCCCCAGCTCATTAATAAAAGATAGGAGAGTAAGATCGACATCTGTTAATTTCCTGAAAGACACAAATTTTCTAAAATTACAATGCCAAACACTTTTTTCAGTAATTGGTGCTTTAAAAACCTTACAATTTTTACCCACTGCTCAAAACATCACCCATTCATACTTGACGAAACTTTATTTCTGTATCAGTAATGTTCATTAGACATTGACAGAAAAAAATGGCTCACTCTTCTAAAAAAACTGAAGATAGAGTAGTAAATGTGTCAATTTTTAGGACTTTTTAACTTGTAGTGCCTCTAGCAATGCTTATTAGGATGGTTTGAAAATTTGTCACATTTGTTTGTCTCATCAAGTAGTTTATGCAATATAGCAGATGCCAAATTGACGAAGTCATTTTAGAAGCTTTGAGGTTAAAGCCAACCCCGTCGGCTTTCACTGAAGTGGCAATTGCTTAAAAATTATATTTGGTCAGAAATGGCGGCTCCAGCTTTCTTGCTTCTTCTCTGAATAATTTTCAGGCACAGTTCTTGAATAATGAATGCTTGAACCAATGCAGCTTTTCAGCTGCTGTGTAAAACGGAGCTGAGAGGGTTCAAAAAGGCTTTGACATGTGAGTCACCTTTCTTCTGAGCTGAAAGAGATATAGCCCTGATAGGCAACTACTTGACTGTTGATTTAAGATCCAGAGATACAGTTAAGAAAGAGAGAGACAGAGAGAGAGAGAGAAGGTCCTAGATGTCAGGTGATACTTTACTGCTCATAAAACCACTTCAAGCTTCCCGGGGTCACTCTAGCTGTATCAAGCACTCTAAACTCAAAGACATCTTATTTTAACCCTCGAGGCTATGAAACAATTCATCTTTGAGATTACCAGTCTGAAACACTTTAAGCAAGAGGGGAAAACTATTTGCACATTTTTTCTTGCATTTGTGAAATGCATTTGCTCTTTTTATTACAGATTGATTATCCCTAACATGAAATGCTTGAGACCAGAAGAGTTTTGGATTTTTGACTTTTGGGATTTTGGAATACTTCCATTTGCCTATATGTAGATAATGAGATGCAAGTTGAGTCTCCCTTACCAAAAATGCTTATTATTATTTGAAACTTACAACAAGATGAGTCCACAGCAGACACTCTGCTGGTTGTTGCATTGGATCACACGTCGAACACTTCCCAAGTGTCTAGGACTCTGTGATGTATTGGCGAATAATGCGTGCAGATCCCAGTAAGATGGCCTTCTGCAGCTGGCAGATGGTAATTTTGTCAGCACCGATTCTGTTTAAGTGCAGGCCAAGGTCTTTAGGCACTGCACCCAGTGTGCTGATCACCACTGGGACCACCTTGACTGGCTTGTGCTAGAGTCCTTGCAGTTTGGTCTTTAAATCCTCATATCGTATCAGCTTTTCCAGTTATTTCTCTTCAATCCTGCTGTCACCTGGGCTTATCATCATCATCATCATCATCATCATCATCATCATCACCCTTAGCATACTGAAGAAAATGGCTTGTTAATGTTCAAGTCAACAGTCCCTGTTTACAGACTCAGATATTATCTTCATTATTAAAGTCAGCCACCATTTTGTGACACATTCTAATGTATTGATTGATTGATTTAATATCATACCATTCTCCTGGAAGGTGGGACTCAATGATGCCTTGCAGAAATTGAAATAAAAAGCAGTTCAACCATCAAGATTAAATTAAAAGCTTCCCTTTAAAATAATTCAAAGCATGGTTTCAAAACACATACAGCATCCTCTTATTACAAGCCTTTTTCTCAACAGGCAACTAATTGTCAAAAAGTTCACTGGAAGAAAAAAGAACAAAATCAATTTAGCTTCAGTTGGATCGGAGTTTTGTAGCTGAGGAGTATACATAAATAATGCCATCTCTCACATCCCAACCAAGCATACTTGTGAGATAGTGTGACACAGAAAATGATGCCCCCTCCCCAAAGAGCACAAAGCCAAGACTGGATTATTCTTAGAGTTAGTAACATTTGCATGTTAACATACACTAAACTGAATCAGGGCTTCCTATACTTGAATCGGTATAGTTAGCCAGCCAATAGTGAAGTATCTGTGCAAGACCATTTGTATCACTTTTGGCTTAGTTGCAGAAATTTCTGAACAGATAGAGTGAATTAATTAAAGCTGAACCAATTTATGGAGGCTAATGGCTTAGATTTATTAAGAGCACCCATGTTACTGGACAGTCGTAGTAAATTTGGCGAGTTTAATATTTCCCAGCATTTAAGTTCCTAGGAAAAAAAAAGATTGATCACAAGATAGTTGTAGATTTCAGGATTTTTTTTTAATGATAACCTTATAACAACTAGGCACTATATTTACAAAAACCTGATTGGTTATAAAAGTACATAAAATGAGTTACTGAACAAGATGACAACAATGATGATGATGGCAATGGATGATAATGATGATAGTGCTAAACCAAAATTACAATGTATCCCTGTTTTAAAAGGAGCCTCTGGTGGCGCAATGGGTTAAACCCTTGTGCCAGCAGGACTGAAGATTGACAGATTGGAGGTTCAAATCTGAGGAGAGTGCGGATGAGCTCCCTTGTCAGCTCCAGCTCTCTGTGAGGGACAAAAGAGAAGTTTCCCACAAGGATGGTAAAACATCAAAACATCCAGACATCTCCTGGGCAACTTCCTTGCAGATGGCCAATTCTCTCACACCATAAGCGACTTGCAGTTTTTCAAGTCGCTCCTGACATGAAAATAAAACAACAAAACCAACAAAAAAACAGAAGGAGTACAATATTTAGGGGTTAAAGCCATGCTTTGCTGGACTGCTGGGCTTCAGAGACCAAATATCTGGAGGGGCAAAGATTCCTAATGTGCCACATGATACATTGTGTTATAATAGATATTTCCATGAAGGCCAAAGATGTGTATATATAGGATTCATATCTTCACTAGTTCTTCCCTTAGGATCAAAATTCTAAGCATTCCTTGTGTGGTATCTTAGGAGGCCAAGACTCAAGAGGGTAGCTATCCTAGAAATTTAAATTTTGCACACCCTGGCAGATCACTTTCCATCCACCCGCAGTTTAGTCATAATAATTTCAGACTAAAGGCATGCCGTTGGAACAGTGGGACTGAATCACAGCTAGCAGTTTCCTGGTGGAAGCCCTAAATTTGAAAGAGAAGATAAAAATACCCTTTGCAAGTCACTGTAAGACATATTATGCCCTCTCCCCTCCCTTTAAAAAAGTGATTCCTCAAATTGTTGAAATGCTTATTGCCCTCTGAGTAGGTGTGGGCAGGGCGGCTCAATTTAGCTAGGACATTACTGGCTAGCAACAAATTATGGCTGTAGTTCAACTTGATTGTATAAGAAAGGCCTAAGCATACTTATTAGAAAAGCATTCTCATTACGTTTAGTGGGACTTGATAAAAATTCTTAGGGTGCTACTGCATGTCTACATATGTGTTTGGGCACATACAGTGTCTGGAGGTAAACTGATAATCTTGCTATTTTTTGAAGGAATAATTCTTCACTGAAATTACAAAATGTGTTCCTTGATCTTTTCAACTGAAAAACAATCACAGGGGAGAAAAGAATCAGGAGAAAGGAGAAGAGAGAAGCAAGCGTTAAGCTTCACCAAAAGCAAACTGCTAGAGCCTCTTCAAACCTGTTCTTCCCCATTGATAATGTTCACATTTTATTCACACTTTGCCAATGTGTTCTGGTTTTTGTCGGTGCAATGTTGGAGGGTATGCAGTTGTGCTCTCTCAAATCCTTGTCTATTATTATTATTATTATTATTATTATTATTATTATTATTATTTTACTGACACAACAACTCAGTATGACACAGCAAACAAGATATGTATGCTGGATTTCGTATCACAAAATCACAAGTCAAACACTTCCCAAGCATTTAGGAATGTGTGATCAGGCCCGTAGCCAGGATTTTGATTCGGGAGGAGCTGAGTTTGATTCCGGGGAGGGGGGGCTGAGTCTGAGTGAAAGAGGGTCTACCCTAGCAAACCTTTTGTATCGTTACCCCAATACCCCCATGCATATGGGATATATTGAGCATGGTGATCAGATCATGATATTAATAAACATAACAGTTTAAATAATGTACCAGTAAGGCCTTCTCGCGGACCACCATGAGAATTTCGGGGGGGGGGGGGCTGAAGCCCCCAAGCCCCCCCCCTCCCCTGGCTACATGCCTGGTGTGATATATTTTCAAATGATGCATGCAGATTCAAGTAAGGTAGCCTTTTGCA